GGGCCTACGTGCATCATGCTTGTGCGAGATAGGGCCAGGGCTTCGTAACCGATGACCCACACAAAGCACCCACCGGCCACACAACCACTACACTTTGCCCACAGTTTTTACACACACGGACAACACGGAAATTCTGAAACTTAAGTGTCAGGGGGAAGAAGAAACAGGGGGGAAAAGCGTGAGGTGTCGAGACCGCCATCACCTGATCCGACAGTTCCTTGTAGCATTAGTCAGCATCCTTTATATCCTCTATCCCGTACTATTGCCGGGTCGGAGATGGTGGGGCCCGCCGCTATCGGGGGCTATAGCTGCTGCTGCTGCTGCTGCTGCTGCTGCTGCTGCCATCGGAACGACGCAAGTGTAGGTGGGAGAATCTGTTAGTAAAACACTCGATGACGTAATCACGCCGGGCGATCGGATAAGGCGCTGCATCTGAATACCCACAACTGCCAAGCCCTGTAACCACTAACGGCGCCACCGGCGCCAACGTGTATCAGGTTTACGTGGCGACGACGGCGGTTTGATGGGCGCCAGCGCTGTAGCCCGCCGCCGGCGCTGACGGCGCTGGTCACGCCGGCGCGAATGACGCTCTGGCGCGCTCAGATTCACAACCGCGCTCCAGTTGCCATGGTTACCGCGGCGAATAGTTCCCCGCGACTCACTTAGCAACGACCCGACCTACCAAGTGGCAATCAAAGTGGTTTCGAAACTTGGCGGTTTCCAAACACCACACGAAACAACCCAAGAAAAACCATTCTCAAACGACACGACAAGAAAAACATAAAACATAACACTTAATAGCTAAGAAAACAAGAAAACAGAATACGGAAAACGAGCCACAAGGCGAGAAAAGCCGAGCAAAAAAAAAAATGGCTTCGGCGCGCGCCGGTTGACGGCTATGGGTAGCAGCTGCTAGTTACTAGGCAGCGGTGGCAGCGATGGTGATGACGGCGTGTGGGTGTGGGTGTCGTTTGCTCGTATATGCTGTCGCGCCTGTCTCCTGCTAGTTTCAGGCACTGTCAAATGTGTGCTGTGGGTGTGTTATTGTGAGGGAAGCGTATGTATGCTCTTAGCTAGCACCTCAACATTACTGCGCCCCATTAGTGCAGGTGTGCGAGCGCTCGCACAAACAAATTGCTACCGCTAACAAAGGCTAACAAAAGCTAGCTAACAAGGCTATGGCCATAAGGGAGTAGGGCTAGAACTGGGCCAGAACCGGTCTGAAGCCATGGGTAGAGGGCATGTAGGAGTTTGCTTGCTTGGCCCAATGGACCTAACCTATTTCACCGCGGAGTCGCTGGTGGCAAACTGCAAGCAACTCAAGATGGATTTTTCGCCGGCCCACTGATTTTAGGTGGGGGGGATGAAGGCGAGGCTGGAAAGCAATCAGCCGTGCGGTAAAGTCGACTAGACCTTCCTCTCGCCATAGCCTGATACTTATCAGCTTTTAGAGAGGTTTTTAATGATAGTGGTTTGGTTGTAGCTGGGTTGTTCTCAATAATATAAGTGTCCCGTGACATTTAATTCCTACACTATCTCTTAGGCGTAGGGAGATAAAATCCCAGTTTTACCCGTTGTGCATTGGAGTTCTACACACGTTGTCTCCCACTGCTTAAAGGGACAACAACCACAGCAAGGGCCAAGACCCGAGCGATCATAAGCCTTGGCCCCCTCGTTTGCTTTGCCTGTGTTGCTCCTGATTGCTTTTTCGCAACCACCACTAACAAAAGATAAAAAAAAAAAACAGCTGTGGTAAGACAAAGCGAAAAGCACAGCAAACACGTCGGGAATGGCAGTTCTGGCAAATTGGGGGAAACGGTAAACGATACAGATTTGAGCCTATCATCTCACATAAACGAGGGGGCCACTAAAACGCCCAGCATCGTCCACTATTATCGCTGTAGCCTATTCCGGTATTGTGGCGCCCAGTGGCGCCGTCGTATAGCTGGCACCGTCCCACTGTGGACACGCTGGCACGGGTGTCGCACGATACCCCCGTGTCGCGTTTATTGCCCGGCCATGCTACTTGGCACGGGCCTGTATGTCATGGCCCTTGGCACTGCCTATATTTAGCTACCCTCCCCTGGGGTCGCGCCACCACCACCACGCGTTGGCCCCCGTGCCACCTGGTTACCTCACCCGTGCCTTCACGCCTTATACCCCATAGCCTTCGTGTGACATTACTCATCGACGTCAACATTACCCAATTGTACTGAGCACTGCCTCGCAATCCCTGAACCAGTGTACAATTACACTTTATACGACACCGTAGCCCCTAAAGTACAACCACAATCATGTGATGTGAGGTGTCTGAAACTGTAAAAGCTCAATCGACTGAGAAAGCCGATAGTAATCTCATGGAAGTTAATGGTGGTTGCAATTTGTTTTGGGCTTAAATCTAAATGTAGATTCGAGGATATCAAATTTCTGTTGATTGGGTATTTTTAGATACAAACGATATAACCAAATTTGGGATGTCTACTCTATATCAAAATCGGGAGATATGGATTTGAATCGATTCATAATCTATCCAGCATTAAGTGAAGATAAGTACTTAGCCTCAATTGACTTCATTCTAATAAACTGATTCCAATGGGGTTTGATTCACCAACTAATTTTAGAGATGTCCTTGAATCACGTGTACATAAACTCCCAATCTACGCTGGCTTCATTTGCAGCGCGTTGGTGACTACCCCTAAATTCTTCAAAATGCTAATGCCATCTATTAATTCCTTTATCCAAAATCTATAATCTGTTAATCCAAATAATCTATAATAATCTTAATCTATTAAATCCGAAATCCATCCCAAAAACAATAAAAAACAATGAAACAATAATGAGTTCTCTCAGTGGTATCCCCATCAGAGAGCTATGCAAAACTCGAATCCAAGCACAGTTGAGTCAATCGAGTCAATTGAGTCAATTGACTTAGGCGGTGACATCATTCACCTTAGTTTGTCCCGCCACGTTGGCTTTAACCACATCATCCAGTTGCGCTCTTTCCTTAAACGTAACCGACTTGAAACGGCCGTCTTCGCCAATAAACTGTTGTAAACGTTCAACCAAACGGCCGTGGTTCTCTCTAGCGGCGTCGGCGGGGTCGGTACGGCCCAGCAAGTTGATGACGTCGCCGTGCTTGTCAAACAACATCTTGCCCAACACTTGTTGGCGGCACAGCGGCGAGTAAGTGACGGTAATCTCGGTGCCAAATTGAGACGCCAGCGGCTTCAGAATGCGGAAATACTCCAAGTTGCCCACCTGCGCAAACTGCTTCAACATCAGCTGGACCTGGGCCGTCAGCGCCGGCGGTTGGACCATGTGCACTTTGGCGTGGACGTGGTGCTTGAAGTGGCGCGCAAAACTCTGTCTCGACATCGTAATTGAATTGATGGTTGGTAGTCGAATAAATTGACAATTAGGGTCTGTCTGATCCAGGGAGGGGAGGGGAAGCCTTATAAATAGGTGGTACGGTGGCACGGCTGCAGGGGTTGCCCTGAGGCGAAGAGGCAAAAAAAAAAAGAAACGCGCAACGCATCGGAGAGACGTGTAACGGAAGAATCCGGATCAACTACCGCGAGGACAGCCACGGAGGAAGCAATTATTAAAGCTTTAGGGAAAAAGAGAAGGTCAATGATGGTAGTGTAGACGTCGTAGTGTCGACGTTGGTCTCAAATCCTTGTTAGTAGTAGTTGTGGCGAGGTGAGAGGAGGGGAGAGGTGGGGCCAAGATGCCTTCCACGGCGTTGGCAGGAACCCGAGTCAAAGGGTACCGGAGTCACGGATGCACCGACCAACTCCGAACCCGACCCCGTCGCCACCGATGACCACACACGACAACAATAACATCTTTAACGACAAAAACATCTCAGTAGCTAATCCATGAAACCACTACCCGTCCAGATAATCTCTTTCGGTTTGATTGACCCTGACTCTGGCTAAGGCGCACGCGATGCCTTGGAGGCGGGCATCGGCAAGCGACGGGACAGCCAGCATACTGGCGCAGCAGACACACACAGACGTGTGGTGTTATTCGGAGTTTCCCCTCCCGGTCTTGAGGCACCTCCGACAAGCGTCGACAATGCGCTATAATGCGCTCGCTCGATCTAGACCGTATTGTGGGACACGCCACCGATGACGGTGCGCTGGCCTGTGGCCGTTGCTTTTGTCTCAAATATGCCCTCACCCCCCATAACCTTGCAACCAAGAAAAAACCCTCTGACGACTAAAACTATAGCTGTTAAGTCAAGAGACTGAGTTTTCAAACCGTAGATCTGTTCGTAATTCTCATTGGAAGGTTCACATTTGGTAGTTAATCTTTAGGTTTAGACTCGGTTGACTGGGCAATTCGCTTAGGTTTTGTGTCGGGACACGGGAGCTGCCACCGATGACGCTTTCCGGGTTTGTGGCTAGTCTTATTGTGCTCCAAAAGGTACGCCATTGTTCTCGTTCTTTTTCTTGCCTAGCAACGGGGTGACACGCAATATCACCACAAGCCCAATTGCCTCATTCAGTAGCATTCCGAGACGGGTTAAGCATGGACATAAGAGGTATTTCACAAAATCGAACCACTGACCCCCCCCCCTATCGAACTCAGCTTATCCTCTTGATATCTCTGTGAATCTCATTCACTTTTATCAATTTTTGAACATATTTTGACAACTCTCGACTTCAACATTAGAAAACAGTGGAAAAAACTAACAGGATTTCAGACTCATCAACACTATATATAGTTAGACACACGTGGTTATTGTTTTGATTCTTATATGTTTTGTTTCATGTTTAGTTTGAGTGTATGTGGTAGACGCGTCAGTCTATATAGTTACCTCAACGCGCCACTCCCACCTGGAGTCGAGCATGAGTTCAAGGAGGGCTATTTGAAGGGTGATATGCCCAGGAATCCTCTCAATTGTGGCCAGCTTGGCTCCGATTTGAATGAATGACAAAGCTTACTCACGAAAATTACGTGAGACTGCTTCAAAATATCAAACGGGACCACATTTCCATTTATTGGTGCTAATACCGCTGTGGTGCCATTCACGTCAATTCCCCTTGCTAACTTGCCTACAAATCCTCAAACGGATGCATTAAGCTTGAATCTCTTTGCGTTCGATATGTTGATGTAAATTGCGATTGACAGGATCGTACAAACTACAACTCGTGTTGAAGCCTATCAATATCAAAACACCGATTGGAGTCTTGTTTATCTGCTTGATACTCGATCTTTTAAAGAAATTCGTCTTATAATTTTTGATTAAGAACTAATTTCAAGGATGCTACGACGCTTAACTACTCTAGCACTTCTGAACCATGTTATAAATTGGATTAAAAGATTACCCTCATACCTATACTTTCCGTGACGTTCCAACCTGATTCTATTTGGCATTTCCCTCCCACTGACTACTCTCAAGTAACTTCGACACTACCTGATACCTCCAGCCTCCTACTCAACCGCCTCTCAATTCTACTGTTAATTGCCCCGTTTGTGATTATCGATTAAGATCATATAAAGTATACTATGTATATCGTGCCGGCAGGTCACATCCCCATGCCGCCCATGCCGCCCATGCCGCCGCCGCCCATGAACTGGCTCATCATCTTCTGCATCATCCCCGGGTTCTGCATCATCTGCTGGGCCTGCTGCATCATCTGGGGGTTCAGCGCCATCATCTGTTGCGCCTGTTGCATCATTTGCGGGTTCAGCATCATCTGTTGCATCATGCCTCCCATGCCGCCAGCACCAGCGCCACCGGCACCCCCCATCATCTGCATCGCCTGTTGCATGAAACCTGGGTTGCCCTGAGCCTGTTGCATCATCCGCGCCATCTGGGGGTTCTGTTGAGCGTTCTGCGCCGCCATGGCGTTCTTGGCCATCAGCCCCATCATCCGGTGCTGCTGTAACACCATTTCCACCTCGATGGCCTGGCACCCGGCCCCGCGAGCTACCCGTACAATCCGCAGGGGTTCGTCGGTGAAAATGCGCCCGTCGGAGTCGAGCTCTTTAGCCGTCATCAGGTCCATGATGTACACCATGCTCTTCATCTTCTTCTGAGTTTCTTCCTCGCCGATCTGGCTCATGATCCCCAGCATCCCCGGGATCATCAGCGCGATCAGCGCGATCAGGCCGATCTTCATGAAATTCAGCATTTGCAGTTGGAAATCACGAAGAGTAAACTTCCCTTCCTTAATATTTTCGAGAGTCTTCTTATGGTCTTTAGACTCGTGGAGACCAAGCCCCTGGACGTGGTCAATAAGCGCCTGGATATCGCCAATGCCCAACATCTTCAGCACAAACAGCAGCGGCGAGAACGGCTCGAAATCTTGGATGTGTTCCCCGGTACCGATAAATACGATGGGGGTCTGAGTGGCAGCCACCGCGGAAATGGCACCACCACCTTTAGCGTGGCCGTCCATCTTGGTCAAGATGATCAGCCCAAAGTTCGCCAGCTCCTTAAACGCCCGCGCCTGGGCCTCGGCCGCCTGCCCGATCAGCCCGTCCATCACCATGATCGTCTGGGTCGGGTTCACCGCCTCGGAGATCTGGACCATTTCCTCAAATAACAGTTCTTCCTGACGGTGTCTCCCCGAGGTATCGACGATGATGATATCAAACTTCTCGCTCTTGAACTTGGCGACCCCTTCGCGGGAGATTTTCACCGGGTCGGTTTCGACGTAGGACCCGTAGTAAGGGATCCCCGCCTTGGTGGCGTTCTGCTTCAACTGGTCGAACGCCCCGGCTCTGAACGTGTCCGCACAGACAAGCCCGACCTTGTACCCTCTCTTCTTATAGTAGACGGCCAACTTGGTACACAGGGTGGTTTTACCCGCCCCCTGAAGCCCGACAAACATGATGACATACAGCAGGGGCGCCTTCTTCTTGCGCGGGCCCAGCTTCTGTTCCTGGCGGGTCAGGATCCGTTTCGGCTTGGGGGGTACTTCGTGGGAGTCGACGAGGGCACACAACTCGTCAAACACGATTTTCTGGAGCTTTTTCCGTTTGTTCTGGCCGCTGTCACTGTCGCTGATCTCCTTGGCCACCTTCTTGTTGATGGCGTCGCGGAGGCGCGCCACCAATTTGACGTTGACGTCGGCTTCAAGCAACGCGGTGCAGATCTCCTTGACCATCCCCTGGACCTCTTCCAGCAGGCCCAGGCGGACGCCGCTGAGGGCGTCCCGGAGGCGGTTGCCTAAGTCTCCAAGCACCATGGTTTTTTTTCGCACGCCCCGCGAACAATTATGTGGTGGCCAAACAAGGGTGAACTCAGAAATGAGAATTGCTAGACGGCTGAAGTTTGAGTTTAGAGGACGGTTTTCGATGGCTTTGGAATGATTGGTTGCGTAGATGGTGGAAAAGCTTACGATGGTGGCGTTGATTATGAGATGTTTTGTCGGGATGATGGCTGCGACTCGTAGTGGGATGAGGATAGTAAATCTATTCTTACTCAAGCAGTTACAGATACTGGAAAAAAGGGTTACTCGGTGGTACACCTACTGATTCATCGAAGTGGAGTTTCAAGTTCTCAAATTCCTGGTTGGTGGAGAAGAGGACACCTGTCTTCTGTCTCATATATCAGGGTGAGCCTTTAATGGAGCCTATTTTTGATCTAATACCACTCCCAAAGGGGATGTCGAAAGTGAAGACGCGAAAGTGGTATCAACTTTCATCAAGTGGCAATTGTGGTTGGAGCCGTCACTTGGATGCTTGGATGGTAGCGCCGGGAATATCGTCCTGCAGATAATTATCATCAAGATCCTGGGTGCGACTTGGAGCTTGATGAATAGATGCTACATTGACGGTGGTGTTGATCAAAAGACTCGTATATTTCCCTTCGTTTCTTGTTTCGAAATTGATTATCGACTCAATCTCAATCGAGCCGTTCTCTTGGCACCACAAGCTTTGTCATTTCCGAATTTAGCGGTGCTTTAATCTACAAGACAGGATTATAATAGTACAGCGCTTCCACTGAGATAGATCAAACAAAACAAATTTTGGTATAAAATCAGTATATCGACACACAAGTTCGGTTATTGGAGGGGTTCGGTGATCGAGCACTTGATCATTCTCGCCACGGTGTTGGACACCTTTTGCGGAGCATCGCCGTCGCTGTAGCAGGTGCCCACAACGTTACCAGAGCCGCTAGAAACAAAAACATCCCAGTGCTGGTCGTCGTACGAGTTGTAAGCGTCCATCATGTACTGCTGCTCTTTAGGCAACCTGAAGGTGAAGAACTTTAAAGGGTTGTCATCGTCGCCTTTCACTTGCGCTTGGGCACCGGAGTCCAGCCCCGCCGTGTCAGCCACGTTGTCGTTGATGTGGTGAGCGTAGTACACGGCGTCAGCGTCACCACTGGCGTTATTACCAAACACGCCCTGAAGAAGCCAAAGCAAAGAGGAAATGTGTCCCGCAACTTTCTTGAGCCTGTCCTTACCTTTGCCAAGGGAACCCAGGCCGGACCCAGAGCCCAGACCGGACCCAGAGCCCAGACCGGACCCAGAGCCCAGGCCTGACCCAGAGCCCAGACCAGATCCGCCATGCCCTCTACCCCAACGAGGCCATGTGAATTTAGCACCGCGCTTCCGCTTAGGACGGCTCTCGTTTTCGATTTATTCCAACAACGACCGCTGCGTGTTGCCACCGGCGGAAATGACATAGATCACGGGCTGGTAGTTCGTGCCATCGGCTTCGCCGCACCCGCAAGCAACGCGGTGACGAAGAGGGTGTGCAAAGGAAGGACTGAGGAAGTGGAAACCATTGTTGGACTGTGGTCAGTGATGAGGACCGGAAGAGGAATCTACACCTCTATTTATACCTGGAATCCTTGGATTGAGCGGTGGATTGGTCGCGGTCTCGCCAACTGAGGAATGGTGACAATATAATACGACATTTGAACAAGTAGAACAACGTTTACAACCTCACTCAATTTATTCGTTTGCTTGATGAATTTTACACCTTTCCTTTCGTGGTTTATCTACTTTTTTCACCTCTCAATTTGCGTCTCAATTGGATTCAGGTACAAGCCTTTGTAACTGATGATCGTCGATTGCGCGACCACTGACAGGAGCGCGAATAATAGAATCCTGAAATCCATCGTGGGGTGACGTGCTCAGAGGTGCACGTGTAGTCAACAACTATATGCATCGGCGACGTAGGTACACAACGCATATGACGCGCTTGGAATGCGAAAAAAAAATTATTGACCATGAATTGATGTGCCTAGCTGAGACTTATCCGTCGAAGTGTGCTGATGATGACACCGCTTAAGTGAGCATTTTTATTGGGTTAATCTTCCAATAAAAATCTACTTGCCATGACTAGTACCAGTTACTATCATGGTCTCGTATTCGAAGAATTGGTAAACATAGGGTGTTCCATCGTCAAGGTAATAAGCATTAATACGAGAAGATCACCGCATTGTGCAGCGAGGCTTAGCCACGCAAAGTTAGCGGCGTTTGTTGAGTTGAAACTTATGCTCACGATGACGGGGCAATTCAAACACGGTGAAGGGTGTGTGAAAGCAATATGGATACATTCCATTGTGAGATGTCGTTCACTGCACAGAAAGCGACTATTTTGTATCTCTCACGGTCGGGTAATCGAAGCTTTTAAAATTTAAATCATTAGACGAATCTGTGATAATGGTGTTGAAGATAATGGCGATCAAGGATTATCTACAAATGTAGAAGACAGACCTGGTGCCAATGACACAATAATTCAAAACTTTCTTAGTGTTGGAGTAGCGCTGTTTGAGATGGCAAGTACGCAGGATCGTCAAATCTCAGTTTATTGTAACGTTGTGAAAAATAACACTCACGATTCTTTCGATCAAGGGAAACAATTGATTGACGTATTCTTGAAATAATGATGTTTGAACAATTCATCGAGATTGGTTTTTAATTTGATTTTGTTTTGAAGATTTATGGCACAATATTGAATCAGACTATACTTTAATAAAACTGTTTGAAGACACAGCCGAGCTGATGTAAATCCCAAACCTTAGTGAAGTTATTGAAATAGCCTCTCGCTTTGAAAGTAAAGCTTGCAATTGTCAAAGTGTGCACATCGGTTCAGTTGAAATTTCTTCCCCAAAGGTCGGAATGTTTGATGTAGAATTTATCTGGTTTGGTAACAATGGAATAAGCCTGTTTCAAACAATACATCGCTTACATTGAGGTAGATAAGTTACATAAAGACAAATAAGGGTATAAATCAGTTAACCGAATTAAAAGTTGGTCAGCTCAAACGGTGACTTGACAGCGTACCACTCTCGTGATGTCCAGGTTGTCAATAGCCTGGCCGGCATCACCATCAGACCAACAAGTACCCACCTGATCACCGTTGCCACCAGCAACATACACTTTCCAGTGGTATTGTGTGTCAACGTAGCCATCGAGTCTGATGCTTCTGTCGCTAGGCAAATTGAAAGAGAACTGCTCGAGCATATTACCTTCATTGCCCTTCAATTCAACCGCCGCCGCAGAATCGCTGTGCAAGTCCAAGCCATTCCAGCCGTCGTCGTTGTTGTAAGCAAAGACGCTATCTTTTCCCGTTACCGAACCATCGCCGGAGCCATCACTGGAGCCAGACTTAGCGTTTTGGGCTTGAGCGAAAGCTTGGATGATCGATTGACTAACAACCGTGGAAACCGCTGTCGGGAAGTAATTGTTAGCAACTTGGGAGCCAATCTTTCCAAGCGCACCGGAGAGGATACCGGATTTGCCACCGCCATTGTTGTTGTTGTTGGAGTTAGCGCCGTTGTTGGAGCTGGCGCCGTTGTTCTTTGGAGGACCCCACGCGTTAGGGCTGGATGCTGGAGGGCTGCTGGTGCCTCCATTAGGTTTTCCACCGCTTGCATTCCCACCGCTGGGTTTCCCATTGCTGGGTTTCCCACCGCTGGCTTTTCCACCGCTGGCTTTTCCAGCGGAGCCTGAGCCCCCCTTGGCGCGCTTCCACTTGGGACGGCTTTCGTTTTCGATTTCGTCCAATAACGCTCGCTCCTTGTTGTCGTTGACAAGGCCTTCCATCAACGACCGCTGCGTGTTGCCAGCGTCGTCAGAAACCTTTTGCACAAAAAACGAAGGCCAGTATTCCGTGGGGTCAGCATTGACGGCAGCGGCGAGCACAGTAGTAATAACGAGTGTAGAGAGCGAAGACTTAACCATGATTGTCTGATGAGATTGATGAGGATACTTGCGAAGAATTGACCTCTATTTATACACCAAACGTCCGGCTAAACTGCTATCAGTTGGTGGCATAAAACAAATTGATATGCACAATGACATCAAGAATCCCATCATAACCCGGAATGAAAAACATTAAATACGAAACGAAACAGTAAGTGGCGTTTTGCCGATACTTTCATACTGTCTTTCAATGATTTCGGATAACTTTTCAGTTTTGATTGAGTCGTGTATGTCTTTACTTTCAATGATTTGAACCCTATTACAAATTGGACGCTCGCAAGGAGCGGCTGCCAATTGCCGCGTTCACTGACAGCGTCGAAAAAAAACAATCAACCTGATCTCCCTCTTAATGCAGCGCGCATATTGTTTTGCGTGTTGCCGACACGCTGGAGATGCATTCACATTGCCGACGTAGGAACGGCACCGTGACTCGTATGCGCTGCGCATACTCCGCGACTTCAGTAGTTCAAAGGCATATATACATCGCACTCGATAATTTTCAAAGGTTCAACATTATCTATTCGGAGAAGTCAATTTGTAGAACTGAAAGGCGATTCTCGATTATTTTGTTACAATTTCTCATGGTGAAGCGAATCAAAAATCAGAGAGTCGACAAGTGTAATGCTGCCACCTCGTATTCATGCAACAAGTGTCGCCCACAGGGACTGTGAACTATGAGGAACAATAACAAGCAAAAACGAAGCGACATACAATAATTTTACCACCGGAACTCATCTGTTGTAAAACCATTTCAATTTGATGTTTGCACACTAAGCCATATCGTCAATCATTTTGTTTTGCACCCAAAACAGTTCCTTTTCTGACGTCTAATGAATTTCGGGTCACCTTACGTGGTAGTCGAAGATCTTCGATGGTGCGACTACAATTAGTGGGCAGAAAATAAATCTAGATCCCTCGTGGGACGTTGCGCAGGTGGAAATCACATATCAAACCTTACCCATGGTGCGTCTACATACCCAACGTAGGTACCAAACGCGTCTCGTATATAGTGCGGAATGTGCGCGGATCGACAAATTGTCATAACCTCTTATTTCTGCGTTGACGACGCTTATCGTTGTTTACAACCTGAGTGGAATTGTGAGTTGGATACGAGAGGGGAAGCGAGTAGCGTCAGGTACAAGTCGCATTTTCAGGGGCTAGCCTTCGTATTTTACTGTGTCTTACACGGTGTTGCGCGACGCGATCAGGCTGACCTGCCGAACGCCATCACACGGTCTAGAACACGTGCCGCGGTCTACTGAGGACGTCCACAACACGAAAGCGACAAGACGCCTGACACGAATTCTTGGGGAAGTTGAAGAAGTTCATTGCTAACAACTGTAATCATTGTGCAACCTTCAGGTTTCGAGGCTGTTTAGTAAATTACTTATCGTGACACTCACAAACAATGACGCAGTCGTACATCAGTAGGGGCAGCACTGGTGGCATATTTTAGTAGAAAACATATATTCAAATAGAAACACTTTTATTTTTCAACCATGTTCACGCTCATGTGGAGTGGAATGAATATGGGAACATTCAATGGGGGATACCCCACACATGACAAAGAAGAAGTCTTAAAGCAGGCTGATAGGTGAGTTCCTTAGGCTCGGGTTTGCAATCGCCGACAACATCACCGCTCCCAGCAACAAACAAGTCCCAATGATCGTTGTTAAGATGAGCATCGAGGGTGTAACTGTCATTCTGAGGTAACTTGAAGGTAAACAGGCTGAGACAGTCGTCATTGGGACCATGCCATAACACTTTTGTATCATCTTTGGCCCCCACCTTCAATTTGTTCCAGTCGTCATTGTTGTCGTAAGCAAAATATTCAAGGCGGTAAGTTTCTTCATCACCTGGGTTGTAAGGCTGGATTTCTGATTTGTGATTAACCATATCCTTTAAGACAGATGGAAGGTGAGGATTCTTGTGCATGGAGTAGAGAATACTGTCGGCAATTGCTTGTCCGTCAAAACCTTGTCCCCCAAAGCCAGCATCACGCTTCCACTTTGGCCGGCTTTCGTTTTCAATGTCAGCCACCAAGTCCCGCTTGTTCTGGTTCTGAAGGTTTTCATACAACACGAAGATCGATGGCCAGTAGTCATTGTCGTCAGCATTGGCAGCAACAGCAAGCAGCGCGGAGAACAAGATGGTGTTCAACAGAAGGAAGGAAGAAAGCGAAACCATGAGTGAGTGTCGAGTTATGATGGTAATTAAGGAAGCGGGCGGTCATATTTATACCTCGAAAGTTGAAAATGAAAACTGATAGCGTTGGATCAAAAATGCACTATTACATCACAAAAACATCATGCAAAGTGCTGATAAACAAACGGCTAACTTCTAATTATAACATATGTCGATTGAAGTTAACGAAAAAAACAATTAGAGTACACGGGGGTCGTTTTGTCACATCAGGCACCACTTTGTGGTCTTGTTTGTGTTTAGCATACACGCAGTGCCTCTAGGGATGAGATGTTCCCGCATAGCCGATCAGGGCATCAACTGCATCTTGTATTAATTGAGACTAATTCGCAGCATGTGTGTAGGTGAAATGTGCTCATTAATAACTTCAAAGAACTTAAACTCTCGTGCAAGTTTAGTGGCTTTAAGCGAGTGTTTGGTTCATAACAAGAGTCATATGGGTGTATTGTGAAGGTTCTTACGAACATTCCAAACATACTTCGTATTCAGAGTTACGTTCATTTCATGATGAATGCACATGAGGGGTGATATTTTTTTGGCTAATACGAGATACATGAGGTGTTGTGGCATCATTATTTTGTCACGTGATTTGTTGCAGCCAAATCACCATTTCGGTCTCAC